TCTCTCTCTCTCTCTCTCTCTCTCCTCTCTCTCTCTCTCTCTCTCTCTCTCTCCCACACACACCTCTTTAAAAAAAAAAGAGAGAGAAAGAGAATGGAGAATGGGTAGTTATAAGGGAAGCTGGGACCTCCCCTGAATCCTCTTTCACCTGGGCTGCTCATTTTTTCCTCAAGTCTCCCTTTCCACTCTTGCAGGAGCTCCTGCCATTGCATTTCCATTTGCCATGAGGCCCTCACCAGAGTCAAGCAGATGCTGGAACCATGTTCTTCAACCTCAAGAACTGTGAGCTAAATAAACCTTTTTACTTGCAATACTCACCCTTTGATATTTTATTACAGCAACACAAAATGAACTAGAACAACAAGCATGTATGCCAGCGCCTGGTCATCTCTCACTTCGGGAGCAACAGTCTGGGGTAAGACAGGGCCCTAGAGGTGATATGAATGTGAACCCAGGGGCTAAGCTAGACCCTCGTTCGAGGGCCTTCAGGAGCCCTGAGAGTGGGAGGAAGAAAGGGTGGAGGTTGTACAAGGGACAAGACATTAGAGCTGGCTTTTAACAGAAGTACGATTTCACCAGAACAGAAGGTCTATGAAGAACATTACAGGCAGATGAAACTACAAGAGCAAAGGCCCAGAGAATCAAAACTGCACATTCTGTTCAACTCCACTAACTAGTCCAAGAAAAGGAGAGGCAGACATGGTGGYACTCCCTTGTAATCCCAGCAACTCAAGAGGCTGAGGCAGGAGGATTGTAAGTTGAGGCCAGCCTCAGCAACTTAGTGAGGTCCTAAGCAATTTAGTACCTGTCTCCAAAAAATAAATAAAGAGGGCTGGAGATGTGGCTCAGTGGTAAAGTGCCCCTGGGTTCAATCCCTAGTACCAAAAACAACAACAAACAAATAAAAACACAAAACATACACAACCAAATAAATAACAGGGAAAGGAGAAGAGAGTACAAACTGCTCAAAGATTTAGGTTATTCTCTCCAAATAACCCCTTTCTTTACCTGGACTTTGATTGTAGCTTCCTCTTTGTGACTTTAGGTAAATGATTTCCCGTAAGACTCAGTTTTGTCATTTACAAAATGGAACCGATAATGCCACCTGGTTTTTGTGAGGATCAAGTCAGAGAAGGTATAATAAGAGTTTAAACTCTCAAACATTCAGCCACAGGAGACACTGGTTCAGTGCGGCTCTACTTGTTTTATAGATAAAGGGGACTTCTCCAACTTAACTGCATTTCTTATTCTCCTTGAAGTTTTTCTTTTTCTATCTTTTTTGGTTATTTTTGTTTTGTTGGAAACAGTGTCTTGCTATGTTGCCCAGGCTGGCCTCAAACCCCAAATCCTCCTGCTTCAGCCTCCCAAGTAGCTGGAATTATAGACATATGCCAGAGCTTCAGAGCAAGACTCTGAAGATTTTGATGTGCCTGATTCTCCCCTCCCTAAAGTGTCTTCCAAGATTCCCTCTATCTAAGTAGATACCAGGTTATCAGCTCCCTGAGGAGACAAAGTTAACTCTTCCTGGTGCCTCCAGGAACTAGTAGTTAATAAAAACGATTAAGAATGACTTAGCTTCAGGTGGCTTTAGTCAAATTCATGGCCAGGGTATATGGTGCCAACCACTATGCCATTAACACCAGGGGCCACASAGAGGCCTCTCAGGTCTGCAGAGTCAGCAGCAACTCCATATTCTTTGGTGGTTTTTTCCCCTGAAACTTGCAGATAGTGTCCTTTTAATTCCTGATAACTTCATCTACTAATGTATCCATCCATGATGGATGTGCATGACATATTTACAAAATTGCTCTAGAAATGTGTGCAAAATGAAGTGAAATCCAAGAGAAGAAGAATCTAAGCCTCACTGGTTTGGAGATGGACTTTGTGAGACCAGTAGAGAAAGGACATGAGGGTTAAAGGGAAAAAATACAATTAAGATTAGAGCTCAGGGTCCCTGCTGCTTCTTGTAAGGCTGAGCGACTGCTTCTGGATGAATCTATGCCCAGTGGCAGGGACACAGCAAGTATTAACCTTCTAGAGGGTTCTCTGCAAATCCCCCTCTCTCTGCCTCAGCCCTCCCAGCCTTAAATCATTGTTCAGAGTTTTTCCCCTGAGGAGCACTGAGATTTGCCAGAGTCCTAGAGTGAGCAGTAATGGAACAGAAATTAGGAGCTGAATGAGTTATAGTCCTAGCTCTTCTATTCTTAACTCCTAAGCTTTTATGGAGCTCTGAGGGTTAAGCTGCATTTTAAAAGCCCACACATGGAAAACTCACCATTAGGGAAAAATTAAGTTAGAGCCCTAAGTCACAGCTGACATTAGAATAAATTCCAGATGGCTTAAAGATTTGCATGTAAAATGAAATTGTAAAAATAGTAAAAGAAGAAAATAGGTGGATATTTATAATTTTGGAAGGAAAGGGGAGTACAAAATATTGTTCTAAGTTTGTACCAAAGGCAAATAATAAAGAAAAAATTAACACTATTAAAAAATTCATGCATCAGAAGACTGTTGCAAAAGTAGAAGGGTTAAGAAAAAACCTGGGAGACGATGGGTTCCACATGAAATGGTGGAAAATAAAGAAAGGGAAGAGAGATTGGGGCAATTATCAGGTCATTAGGATGCTATCCTAGTAAAGAAGAGCTACATGATCTACTTGCAGAAGTAAAAGGAAAAAAACTCATGGAATACGTTTGATTTAAAAATTTTCTTTTAGTGATGACCAAAGAACTTCTGGAAAAAGGATATAGACCATTTCAGAAAATGTCCTTATTTGAGTTTTTGAGGTTTTAGATCCAGCTAAATGTGGATTTCTTACTAAGGAAGAACTGTTCAGGTATAAAAATGGAAAAGTTGAGTCTTTTTCCCAAGAGGAAATGGAAGAAATACTGTCTACTGAAATTAATCCAGAATAAAATTCAATTAATTACAAGGACTGTATAAGAATGATGGTGAAGCCGGGCACGGTGGTGCACGCCTGTAATCCCAGCAGCACGGGAGGCAGAGACGGGAGGATCACAAATTCAAAGCCAGCCTCAGCCTTGGCGAGTAACTAAGCAACTCAGTGAGACCCTGTCTCTAACTAAAATACGAAATAGGGTTGGGAATGTGGATCAGTGGTTGAGTTCCCCTGAGTTCAATCTCTGGTACCCCTCCCCCAATAAAACAATGGTGATAGATGAAAATTAATCGTTCTGAAGACTTCTAATTGAAGAGATAATTTGAAAAATTGCTTGTCCTCGTTAATTTCACACTTCATATTGCAATTCTTGTATCTGATATTTAATGCCTCATGACATAACTATTTTAAGATATTTTGTTTTCTAAAGATGATCATAACAATTTTAAACATAAATTTATTTAATATATTCATACTTACAAATTGGCAAATTACTGATCATTTTAAAATTACCCTGAAAACATTATAACATTAAGATGCATTGTTGTTTATTTTCTATAATGAAACCCATGTTACCTTCAAAGTAAAAGAGAGAGAGAGAGAGAAAGAAAAGAAGGAAGGACAGAAGAAAAGAATTGTGAAGTCAGTTAATGGATTAAGAGAAAAAGAGGGCCTTGGGCCATTTTTTGGAGTAGTAGATTAGGCAACTACATTTGGAGTAGCTGCGACAATCATCCACTTCCTTCCTTTGACAATAGTCATCTGCCAGCTGCGGTGTGAATTTACTCCAGACCAAACCAGTGAGTGCACCAGGCAACGTATACATGTATATTAGTATGTATGTATTTATGTGTGTGTGTRTGTAAGCCCAATCAGCACATTCTACTCTTCCTGCATATGTACTGTATGCACAGTCAGTAAACAGTACATATAAGATCAAGAGCATACAATTAAAAGATAAACAGGAGCCCTGCAAATCTGTAATTCCAGCTACTTGGGAGGCTGAGGCAGGAGGATCATAAGATCAAGGCTAGCCTCAGCAACTTAATAAGACCCCATGTCTCCAAATAAAAAAATAAAAAGGAATAGGGGTGTAATTCAGTGGTAGGGCACGTGCCTAGAATACATAGACCCTGGGTTTGATCTCTGGTACCAAGAAAAATAAAAGAAAAAGATTAAATATCTAGAACTATTAAAACTTTTCAGTAAAATCAACACTGTGAAATAAGACCCTGAAAAACCATTCAGGGAGACCAGAATGTGCCACAACAAAATATGGCACTTTGGCATAAGGATTACTTTGAGCTGAAGGCAATTGAGAAGAAGGAAACATACATATAAAGAATCTCTCTGCCCCTGACCCATTTACCAAAAAGCAAGACATAGATTTACAAAGACAAAGATGGCCTCCCCCTTGTCTACCCAGAAGAACAAAGGTTAACCACTGAAGGCAACTTTAGAGCTTACCAGCCTGGAGATGGCATGAGGGGAATCTTTATAACAAGTTTACTAACTAACATTTTTCTGCCACAATTTTCTATCTCTAGAGGCTCAAAGTCTTTTCCTTTGTCTTGTCATTTCTCTATACCTTTACTGTTCTTTGTTGAAGATACTACATAAACTAGAATTCAAAGTCATCTCTTTGAGAATTATTTCCTAGGTATCTACTATGTATACATGAAATATTCATGTTAATAAATTATTTGTTGTTTTCTTGTTGATCTGTCTTTTGTTTCAGGAGTTATTTCTATCTAAAAATTTGGGGGAGGGAGTGCAAAGAAAACAATTATCTTTCTTCCCTACTCTATCCATTAACAGGAAAATGAATGCCAAAAGAAATCCCAGAATTAATAATACTAAAAACAAGGTATAAATTAAGTGTAATTAAGGTCTTAATAAGATAGGTGAAAGGTAATATATTTCATATATTAAAAAATCAGGGGTTGGGGTAGTGGCTCAGTGGTAGAGTGCTTGCCTAGGACGTGTGAGGCACTGAGTTTGACCCTCAGGACCACATAAAAATAAATAAATAAAATAAAGGTATTGAAAGGTATTGTGTCCATCTACACCTAAAATATTAAAAATAAAAAAAAAAAGAATCAGGGGCTGGAGATGTAGTTCAATGGTAGAGCACTTGCCTAGCACAGGTGAGGCACTGGGTTTGATTCTCCACACTTATAAAAATAAATAAATAAAATAAAGGCATCTTGTCCATCTACAACTACAAAAAAAAATCCTTTTTACAAARAATCAGGTAGAGATTTTAGAAATTTAGAGGACTGGGGATGTGGCTCAAGCGGTAGTGCACTCGCCTGGCATGTGTGCGGCCCGGGTTCGATCCTCAGCACYGCGTACAAACAAAGATGTTGTGTCCGCCGAAAACTAAAAAATAAATATTAAAAAGTTAAAAAAAAAGAAATTTAGAACTTGTGTTGCCAAATGAATATTCAATAGACTAAATACAAAATAGATACCTTTGAAGAGTGAATAACAGAATTAAAAGATCAAACTGAAAA